TGTAAAAAAATTAAATACATAAGTTTGGAGAGAAAAAAATCCATTTGGTGGAGGGCACCCCCCCATAAAACTCTATCATGCCAATTGACAGATGCCCCACAAGGCTATGGTCTTACTCTTCAAACCCAGGAAAACTAATTCTGCAAAGTGTTTTGTTGTGTCCAAGTGCTTTGTCATCTATATGGTTCTGTATGCATACAGCTACACAGATGTATATACAGAAAGCTACATATCATTGATCAGGGCTATTGATTCTGACTCCTAGCAACTGTGTGCCCAGGCCTGAGCCATCTTCACAACATTACTGTGTTTGAACCCATCTTTTGCAGCCACTTGCCACTCTCTCTCACTGTAGATCTTCCTCTTTTTCGTCGATCCTCGACATCATCAAGGATACTAGCCTTCTCCAGAGACTGGTCTCTCCCGATAACATGTCCAAAGTGTGTGAGATGAAGTCTCACCATCGTCACTTCGAAGGAGCATTCTGGCTGCACCCCTTCTTTGTTCCTTTGGCAGACCATCTACTTTCAGTATTGTGTTTTGGTTAGTCCAGAGGTGCTTTCACTATTCTCCACTAAGATCGATTCTTCTGTGGTCCCCTTTATTCATTATCTACCATTTGAATGCATATGAGTTGATTGTATGGCTTAGGCAGGTGTAACAGCCTCTATTTGTTTAACATAGATTTAGAACTTACTGTATGTTCTAGAGTGGAGCCTTGGGCGCGTAGTGGGTTACACTTTGGGCTACTCACCATATGGTCAGCAGTTTGAAACTACCAGCCACCTCCTCTGAAGAAAAATGAGGCTTTCTACTCCCTTAAAAGTTACAGTCTCAGAAACCCAAGGGGCAGCTCTACTCTGTCCTATATGGCCACTGTGAGCCAGAATCAACTCGAAAGCAGTGAGTTTGGTTTTTTGAGTTTTGAGTATATTCTAGAAAGGAGTCCTGGTGATGCAGGGGGTTACACATTATGCTGCCTACTGTGTGGTCAGTGGTTGAAGCTCATCAGAAGCTCAATGAGAGAAAGATTAGGTTTTCTGCTCCCATAAAGATTTTTAGCCTTGTTGTGTTAAGCTGGGTTGACTAGAGAAACAAACCCAGTGACACTCATTTATATATAAGAAAGAGCTTAATATCAAGGAGTAACATAAATATATGTAACTATATCAAGAAAGCATCTCAGCCCAGTCTAACTCAAGTCCATAAGTCTGATACTAGTCAATAAGTCCCTCTTCCTACTCACATAGTTGCCCGTCGGTGATGCAGAAAAATTAAGCAGGAATCAGGGTGATCATAGGGTGGTGGGTACAGAGTAGTGTGGATTCAAGGTCAGTAGAAACAAGGCAGGGTGCCAACTGCTCTCAGGGTCAGGCGGCCCACCTGGGACTGCCCCTTGAGGCATGCAGAGTCCCAGCAGGCAGGAAACCAAAGTAGCAGAAAGAGAACAGTCCTCAGAGTTCCTCACTTGTGTACAAAAGGTCACACCCCCAAGGAGGTGTCAGCAAACTGCCATTTGATTGACAGGTTTGACTCCATCCTTTGCTATGAGTAACTAGTTGATATAAAATCATTCCGTTACCTCACTTGTAAACTCACACAGCACTGGGTTACATTTGATATCAGCTTAAAGGGTATGCCTGGTCCTAAGAAGAGGTGGATGAAATACTTGGGATACAACATGTAGGTAGGCACAGACTCAGAGCTGTACAACTTTAGATCTTCCTTTCCTGGCTTCTTGCCTACCTCATTGTAATCTGGGATCTGCACTAGAGCATATAAAGCACTTGGTTTACATTCCAAGATTACAGAGCTAGATAGAGAGACTTGGAATTAGACACAAACAGAAGGAAAAGTCATGGGGTTGAATGAGAATCTAAGATAATAGGAGATCCTGTGCTGTACCAGGTGTGGGCTGCTGCCTTTACCCGATTTCTTACCTTGGTGGCCTCCTCTTAGCAATGCTGGAGTCTTACAGAGCAGAGTCCACAATCTGTAGTTCAAAGCTCTGGCTCAGGAATAAAGATATGGCAAAGCTTTTTTCAAACTTAAACTAATTTTCCAGTTTGCTTGAGTTGACCCTGACTTGTGGCATGCCCATGTGGACTACCATGTAGAACTATGCTCCAGAGAGTTTTCATTATAAAAAAAATTGATCACTAGACCTTGCCTTCCTAGGTGCCCCTGGTGCCCTCGTAATGCTAACCTTTTGGTTACAGCTGAGGGCCTTAACTATTTAATGCCATCCAGGCATTCCAATCTATGGTTGACTGTCACAAATTATTTGTGTTCTCTGACATGTAAAAAGAGGATGCAAATAGTTATTACAGTGTGTTCTGGGGCAGGATTTAAGGTCCTGATTTTTGTCTTTTCCAAATGAGTACTGACTTCCATCATGTGTTTGTGCTTAGGTGGTGATTTACATAAAAGAAAGTTCTAGAAGTTGAAGGGACCACTCACTCACCAAAGGCAACAAGTCCAAGATGGCAGCACTCCTCTCGAGTGAGAAAGAACAAGAAGCACAACTACAGAGCAGTGTAGATGAATCCAAACACGGTGACCGTGATGACGAAGATCCCGAGCTAATCTTCGTTGGGATGTATCACATAAAAAAAAATGCTGAAGTTAATTTTGTCAGGATGACTTCCAATTCAAAACCAGTCATTTCACACATTTTGAACAGAGCTCACCGGCAGCCACATGCTGAAAGGAAGAAAGATTACTCCAATCAAGGCCATGCATTGCAGCCTGGAAATCATGGGACCTTGACATCAAAAGATGGGCAAGGTTCTCCACCTGAAGTTCTGTCAGCAGGTGATCCAGTTAGAGATTCTTCAGCCTCACCTGGTTACACAAGGAGATCACCACATACCACATCTCATCATTGCTCAGATTTGCTCTCACCACGGGCTCAGCATGTAGTTATCAGTGCTCTCTCTCTCGACAGTGGAGATGAGAGTCCTCATGATTCAAAGCAAGTTGCTGCTGCTGCTGAAGGCATGCATCCCTCATCAAGTGATGGCCAATGTGAAGCATCGTTGCCTCAGCCTTGTGCAAATCGCAAGACACACTTGAACCTTAAGAATTCAGTCATGGAGACTAACATCGCAGGACTGCCAGAAACAGGCAGTTCAAGAGGAGCAAACCAACACAAGGCGTTCGATTCCAAAAACGAAAATCTGAATGCATTACCGTATGGCCTCCACACTGGGCAACAGGAAGGAGATCCGCAGCCAGAACAGAAGACTCACACAATCTTTAAATGCCTCAGCTGCAAGAAAGCGCTAAAGAACATAAAGTTTATGAACCACACGAAGCACCACTTGGAACTCCAGAGACAGAGAGGCGACAGCTGGGATAACCATACCACCTGCCAGCACTGCAATCGACGATTCCCCACTCCCTTCCAGCTGCAGAGTCACATTGAACGTGTGCACATCACATCCCAGGAACCCACTTTTGTTTGTAAAATCTGTGAGTTGTCATTTGAAACAGACCAGGTTCTCTTACAACATCTGATGGACCTGCACAAACCCAATGAAATGCCTTACGTGTGCCAGGTTTGCAAGTATAAGTCGTCGACCTTCAGGGAGGTGGAGGCCCACTTCAGCGCCTGCCATGAAAACACTAAGAGTTTGCTTTGTCCGTTTTGCCTCAAAGTTTTTAAAACTTCATCACCGTACATGAAGCACTGTTTGAGACATTGGAGCCAGAGAGCCTCCCGCTGTTCCAAATGTCGCCTACAATTTTTGACCAAGAAAGAGAAAATTGAGCATGAAACTAAGAACCATTGACCATTTTGAAGTTCCAAGCAACTGGAAGGGTTGCCTCCTGAAACAGAGGCTGTTGTTCAAACTTCAGTTCAGTGGAGGTCAAGAGGCATAGCATCCATTACTGTGAACAACCCTGACCCTTGGCTGTCACCTGCAAGAGCATCAAAAGGGAGTCTTGCTAAGGTTGGATTTCCAGACTCTCTTGCAGCTAGAGTCTTGACTGAAAATCATAATCTACTTGATTCCAGTAACTTTAAAAGGCAAAAATGAGGTTAGGCAATCTATGCCTTTTGTTTGGAACTTCTAACAAGCAATTACTTTACAACCTGGGGCTTTCCAGTGATAATTCTTTGTAGTATCCAGAAGTACCATCATTTTAAAGACTGTCTCTAAACAAGCAGCCATCTAAGTGAGATGTCAACTAAGCCCACATGGAAGAAGCACACTGTTATTAGTCACTGAAAGATTGTAAATCATATAACCTGAAGTCGAAGTATGGATTAGTATCAGAATCTAAATTGTGAGAATCTGTTTGCAGAAAGCTATGGGTGACAGTGGGAACCCAAGATTAATTTGTTGAAACTACATAGGAAACAAGTCTCCAATGAATTCCCTTCTGTCTACAGTTGAGAGATGGGGGGCAAGGGGGTACTAAACAGAGGGCATTGGAGAGATGAGTATAGAAGATCAAAGGCATTACTCTGACACAACAGTTAACATTTTGTCTGTTGATTCCCCCCCTCTGATGCATGCTGGACCTGATCTGGTTTTCAACATTTTCTATAGTTTTGTTTTTATTTGTTCACATTAGGCCGTATCTCTGATGTGTTAATGTTAAAAACACATTTAAAAAGTGATAGGTTAAAGGTCACTTTCATAAAGTTGAAGTATTACATGTTTTTTTTCTGTTTCAGTAGATGAAACCCAACCTTGACCCTACAGGGTCAGCAAGTAGAATAAGGGTTTGGGGGGTGGGGAGTAAGTGGTAGGAGACAGAAAGGGAGACAATGTCAAAGAGTCCAGGAAGGGAAAAAAAATGGGAACTGTGGTAGCAATTGTACAATTCTACTTGAGGTGATTGAACTGTGGAATGATATATATGTATTAGCTCCCAATTAATAAATAACTATCCCAAAGTTCCGATTATGATTTTCCCCCTGCCCCTGGACTCCCTTCCTACTGTTCTGACTTGTATGAACTTCAGTTACTTTTGCCTGTTTTGAATTTAAATAAACAATATTTGGTTCTTATCTCAGATTGAGGAAATGGTGTGTGGGAAACTTCTGACCTATGAATTCATGAGGGAGAGGAGAGTCCAATGCCGCATCCGCCTGTCCGGTTTCTACGGTGGTTTACTTCAGTTCTGGCTTCTGAACGCCAAACGAATTCATGGGCAGAAGCACTGAAGTAACCGAAGTAACTTACGAGGGAAAGCGAAGTTTCAGGTATGACAGCCTCCGGAAATACACGCGCTCTCTGGGACGTGCAGGGCCGCAAGGCGAGGGCTGTGGGAAAGTTCGTGATTGAAAATGGCCACTCCAGCCACTTCAGGGGATTCGGAAAAACATGGAAGGGGTACAGGAACTGGAACCCAGAATTGGGAGCCAAGAGAGCGAGGGTATGGCCTGAGAGTTCAAGCTCAGAGAGTGTGTGGGGATGCATGTACAAGAGAGCACCTGGTGACAGATAGGAACCGGAAACAAGGAATCCAGGACAGACGAACCCCCTCAGGACCACTGATGGGATTAGCAATACCAGGAGGGTGGGGTAGAAAGGGGGAACCGATTACAAGGATCAACATATAACCTCCCTGTGGGATGGACAAAGAAAAGTGGGTAAAGGGAGATGTCAGACAGTGTAAGATATGACAAAATAACAATTC